GAGAAAAAACCTGTGAGTTTCCTAATCTAGAAGCACAATTCCAAATTTTTGCTCAAAAAGAAATTAGATTCGATCAGGGATAGGAAGCGACCTGATTTCATCACTTGAACAATTTGGAAATTTCATATATTTATTCAGGTAACAACCAACAATATCCTAATAGTATAGCCTATCTATATATCAGCAATCATCAATCTACTCCCATCCAAGATTTCGCCGAACCACTGGATCATCCAAAGCTTTAAGTTCTTCTTGCTTTTGTTTTAAAAGGATATCGGGAATATATCGGTAGTCTTCGTCTGCTTTCTCGTGCTCTTTGAACGTTACCTGGGACCATAAAACCATTTTTAATAGTGAAAATTAAACTTACACATCATAAAAGAAGAGAATATATCGAATGAGCAAAGCTGAGTTTCCTACCGTGACTCCTACGGGTAAATGGGTTTGAATGAGGGCAATAAAAAGCTGAAGATGAGGTGCAGGTACGTTGCCAAGTCGAACGACTCTAAAATTAATGTCATAACAACTGTTTGGTAAAACAAACCGTTTGCTGTCACCAAAAAGCACACTTCTAACCTATCATATAAGGCTAAATTTATCTCATTTTCTACGATCGTACTATTTGGCTTGTACACAACAATTCGTTGAGTTTGGGCGGCGACGGCGTAACTGGAATAAAACTAACTCTTCTTTCTAGAAATTCCAAAAGTGCGGGAGACTAAAAGGTACCTCTCCAAAACGTTAAATTTGAAGCGTCGAGCCATTCTATCCACATAACCTTGAAATTTCTCAATATGTGTAAAATCGTATCCTTGTATCCGGACATTAAGTGTTGCATACCTGCAAAAACTTCAGCAAGTAAGAGATTGAGTGAAATCGGCCGTCAGAAGCCCTGTGACTGCGACCAGTTTTCTATTCGTTATGTGAAATTATTTTGGAAAACACATAGTAAGTTATCAGTTTTCGATCCAGAAAACGAGCTTAGAATCAAAGACATTACAGGCTTAGAATCTCGAGATCGTCTCGTTCTGATGAGGCAGAGTAGGAAATTTCGCTTAACTCAGTGCAAGCAACACGGTCTGGTTAGAACTTCATTATATCAGTGAGAGAATCGATAAATATAAATTTCCAAACTCTTCGTAATTTTTAAAACTACCAAAAATAAATGAAGGAATGGTGAATCTGATGCACTGGAGACTCTTAAACACTCGTCTCCAGAATAAGTGTTGTGGTAACAGAGTCGTTTTACTTTAATTTTGAGAGCTCATTGGCGTGACAATATTCAATTTCCAGCTTAAATCAAGAATGCTTAAAGTCCTTCATTAACGAGAATGTTAACCCCGTCAAATCTGCCAGAATTAGACAGCCCATAAGTCTGTCTCACACCAAAAGAGGTTCATAAAAACTATAGTTTATACTCTACTATGGCAAATCGGAAAGATAACCGCAACATGCGGAAAAAAACTTCATGAAAATAACCACAGTGTAAGAAGATTGACTGAGATTACAAAATACCAACTTACTCTGGATATTCTCTTGTATCCGGAAATTTTGGCTCATATAATAAAGTTGGGTCATTTGGTCCTGCCATTTCTCGAAGCGAGGCAAAGCTGCGACATAATGTCCTATATGCTAGCCGCCCACTGGCCAACATCTGCACACAGCTTAGACTACAACGGAATGTTTACATGAAGCTTTCGTTCTCGATACAGTTCAAGATTTACCACATTTTCGAGTACATGATGAATAAAACATGAAGAGGATTAAGTAAAAGTTAGCTTGAAATATTTATTATATTGAAGATGGTTTTATCACATGCAGGTATCCAAAAATCTAGCGAAACAATGCTATCACAAAGTCAAGTAGGAAAGAGTCACTCTCT